ATATAAATTTATTTGAAATCCCTGAAGGAATCTATGAAAAATTGAAAGGATGAGTTGAAAAATAACAATCATATTGAGCACAAAAACCCAAATTACAATGAAATAAAACAGAAGCAACAACCAAAAAAATTAAAGAAAATTGAACTATCAACACGAGACAAAAATTAAAAATTATCAACAACAAATGAAAATTGAAAATTGAGAAATTTCAAGTTACTCACTTTCTTTGTAATGTTAATAATAGCTAGACATAGAAAATATTACCTAATTTTCTAACAAGGACGGCATTATCAAAATGTTGGTCGATAATTGTTCATAACTGTTTTAAAATTGACAACATTAACATTTTTTTCAATATCTACTGCATCAGATCAAAAAAATGAGAAGTGATGAGAAGTGAAAGTGAAATGTTATGGATCTGCTACATTTTCTGAACTTCAACTGTGAGAAATCGGCTTCAATTTGTTTTCATTGACCCTCTCTGGTCAAAAGATGAATTTCATATTTTTTTTTGAATTTGTATAACATCTCATATGTGAGCACATATTGAAGTAAACACTTTATTTCAGATTTTGTGTGCGCCAAATTTATCAAAATTTCACTGGGTACCTACTACTGTCGACAGATTCAAGAAAGACACGAGAGACCAATGTCCTGTGTTAGGGGGATACGATCGGAAAGCTTGGGAGAATAGGGGCACACTTGGCAATTTGAACATTGGCAGAACTCGTGAGCATGGGGATGTGATCATTGGAAACATAGCGTCTTTTGATCCCAAAGAAGTATGGTTTTATTACCCTCTGGATGGTGGGGAAAAAAGAGCTTTTCATTATGAAGTATTAGTGTACCGTGGTGATCCTACTCTCAACACTGTCACCTCAATTTCGATAAGTGAGGATTGATCCCTGAATGATTTTTCGTTAAATTCTTCAAAAATATTTTTTGAGATTATCATTTGAACTCTTATGACGCCTTTTGGGTAAACGGGCGACAGAGAAAAATGTAATACTTTCACTGGGTACCTACTACTG